CAGGAGAGCAGCCAGCCGCTGGTCCTGGGGCAAGAGCCTTGGCCTCCGCGGAGGAGGAGCCTTGAGCTCAGCACTGAACAAGAGAGACACTTCACATTTGGTGTCATTACAGAGAATGACTAAATGCTTTTTTAAGTCCATGTCTGGATTCTGAAATTAATACCGTGTCCCAGGCTGGGTAGAGCAACTGCTTCACGAAGTAGGGGCGTGCCCAAAGCCCTCAACAGCCAGAGGCAGGAAGCCTTCACCAAGGTGCCGATAAAGCTCACTTATTCCTGGCTACGACAGACTCAGAAAAAGACACAGAGGGTCCTAGCAGCTCCAAGTCAATGGCAAGTGAGCACAGGGTCTAGCAGTTTTCAGATCCAACAGTAGACCGGCAAAGAGCAAGGGCCAGGAAGCCCCTCTGGGGCAGCGGTCAGAGCCCTGGTGGGGCTAACTGGGGACTGGAAATGTCTGGACACTACTACAGGGGACAGGAAGAGCATTCTGAGTGACTGAAGGAAGACCTTGATGGGGGAAGGGTGGAGTCTCGTGGAAAATAAAGGCTTTGGAAGACGGAGGTCCCAGGGCGCTTCAATTCAGCGCCTTCTGCTCTCCAGGGTGGAGGGGACCGGGCAAAGGTGCTAGCGGTTGAGGGTGTTCCTGCCATGAGGCCCCTCAGGAGGGCCACTCTGGGCTGCCCATCCTGGGGTCCCGTCCACTCTGTCTTCTAGACCTGGGTTCTGAGGGGCCTGCCCCCCACCCTGTTGGCCAGAGCACCAGGACTGCGCCAACCAGGGGGCGCTGGGACTGGGGCGTCCTGCTCCCGGGCCCACTCTGCTTCCTGCACTGCTGTGTCCTCCTGTAACAGTGGCCGTCTTCCCCGAGCCAGGGGCGCTAGGATAGGAAGTCTCCCTGGAGCAGTCTGGGTGCAGCTGGGTGGCAGACGGGTCCCCTGTGGTGGCAACCTGGGGCAGTGTCTGGGGCTCTGGCCGCCACCCCCTCTCTCCTGCCCACCTCCTGCCAGTGTTTAGACACAAAGTGCCTGACCCAGACCACTGACCCCAGGTGCCCCCGGGGTCCTACCCACCCTCCAGCGCAGGGAGCCGCCCGCCCGTCCCCTCCCCTCCCAGAGTCCTCCCCGTCTCCTGACAGAAGCCCAGGCCCTGCCCAGCGACGGTTTCGAGGGATTCCCCTTCTTGCTCCTTCAGCAGGAGCGAGCTTTACAGGCTCAGCCTCAGCCTGCCTGAGCCCCGGGCAGGAAGGGTGGTGGCTGCCCAGGCAGAGAGGGTGGGTACCCCAGGAAGTGGACTGGGGTCGGCAGGCGGGTGGGGCAGGTGTCCCGTGGGTACCCACAGGGGGTCAGTGCGCCAAGGCCGGGAAGGGACGCTGTCCTCACTGCTGGCCTGCAGCCCCCTCTCCTCCCACTTCTCTAGACCCCCTCCCCATGCAACGGCCACCGGAGGCCACTTGCCCACCTCAGTCTGCTGCAGATTGGAGAATCAGCTGAAGGACCCCTGTGCTCCCCTTTCCCCTTCACCCTCCTGCCAGAGTGTAGCCACCAGAGTCCCAAGGGCCCTGCAAGGTCAGAGGCCCCCAAATCCTAAAACTCAACCACTGGTTCGTTTGGCCTGGCCCTCAGTCTCTATGCACCAGACCCTCGGTCCCCCCATGTGCCTGACACTGACCCAGGACACCCAGGTCTGTAGGGTGGGCTGGGCTGCAGCTCCTCAGTTAGAGGGGGCACCCCACCCGAAAGTGTCCCAGAGGCAGTTCAACCCAACGGCTTCCCCAGGCACCCCTTCCCAGGCTTGCCATGGACGGCCCCCTGAGAACCTGCCAGTGCCCAGCAGCACCGGGAGCCCCTCCCACCGTCCTCGCTAGAAAGTAAGTCCTACATTCGGGTGGGGGCCTGCTTGGCAGAGGAGCTGGAGGGGAGGAAGCCCCCTGCCTGCTGGAGGTCCCCAGCACACAGCCA